CATGTAAATGCCGCGTCACGCAAAAGCTTAGAAATTCAAGCGTACTCTATTACAAAACCAAGGGCCCATTTGGAGTGAAAATTTATATGAATATTAGTTTTCAGCTGCTCTTATACATCATGAAAGTAATATCTCAGGACGATCAATAGATTTGTAGTTTGAATTTTAGTGACGTCATGTGAAAACCCCCAATAACATCGGCAACACACGTAGAAAGGCTATCATGATTTTAGGAATTTAGACAGTTTCAAACTAAACTTGAGTCATGGCCAGATTCGAAATGAATACTACAAGACAATCCTAGAACTTTATGGCTTTTTCCCTACGTTGCGGAATCTTCAGTGTTCTTAAATCTAATCCGGGGGTGAAATCTTAGGGCAGAAAAACTGTATTGTATTTCAACCGTTTCCGAAAATATACCCCAAAAACAAAAGAACACACTGAGACATTTGTCTAATTTTAAGGTGTTATCTTGGGTTCAGCGGGTAAAAGGAAAGATCAGCTCGCGAGCTTATGTCGGCCGGGGGAACTCGATCCCGATTTCTTAACTTACGATATATATATATATATATATATATATATATTTAAGAAGTTTGCTAAACGACATGTGCCGCTTCGAAATCCCGCGTACCATACAAGAAAACTTCAATTGAATATTTTATGCAAGGAAGTGATACTTGTATCAAGAGAAGCTAAGAAGAGAAAAGCGTCGAGTTTTCGATATCTTTAGATCAAACTTGGAAAATAGTTATTTCTGTTTGTCGACACAGCAAAACGCTTAAGTTCTAAGTGAAAATCACTTACGACGGGACGGGAATAGCCTGTGAAACGCAGGCCAAGTATTAATAGCAAAATAGACCGATTACAAATGTCCAGTGAAACTGTTTGCAAACGTGCACGATAAATAACTGTTTTGATCAGAAAATTAAGAACGTTGTCGGCATAAGCATAATCATGTTTAAAAACTATTGATAGACAGTATGAGGATTCCGAGCTGTTGGACATCGTCTGTATGCTTCTCAAATCGTAGTAACGAATAGCACTTTAACTGCACGAGTTTGACGACGGTCACACGGTGGGGGTATACGTGTGCATGTTGTTGTTGTCGTTGTTGTTGTTTTTTTAACAGTGTTAATGTTGTCTATGTATCAGCCAAACAGATACATCAAAGGGATATTTACAATGCGCCACTCGTCTTCTTACCTTTTCTCGTTTAACTCAGCTGGTGTGGAACAAGTCACCTGCAGGATCCAAGGGCTAGTAGTGGTAAGCAACTTTTACGGCTGTCACTTGTCCAAAAGCTGGTTTTACACTTTACAGTTGTTTTATAATAGGCAGTCGGCGACAGTTTGTAAAGCCTTGTGACATTCCTTCTCATATACAGTTCACCTTCAATCCTTGGTGTGTTGGGCTCTGTCCGAATTGACGTGCGGCCAGACGCCTAAAGGCATGACCTGCTGCTTTTAAAGTAATTAAGAAAACGTCTGTCACCAGGCTAATATCTTTTTCCGTAGATGATAACTCTCGACATATTCCATGTAAGACAAACGTACAGCCTATTGCACACGGATGTGAAGTACACCCAGGTTCACATAATCTACATCCCTCGTTGACCGACAAAACAATGTAGATAGACTTCTGGTTGGAATTAGAACAGCACTGACATTTCTGACGTGTCTGCGAAGTAGAAAATCCTAAAATAGTAAACTGAAAGAACACTTACGGTGGCTTATCTGCTAAAATGATCTGAGACTGTTGGTCTCGAAAAGCGTCTTCTAAGCAAGGATTAGTAATACATGAGCAATCAAAACGAATTGTATTTAAGATAATGTGTGGGTTTTATTATCATTATTATGATATTGCCTAGCTAATTGCAGTTCAGTTTTGAACAAAAAAAGTCTTCTGTTGATAATTTTCAAATAGTAAATTTGTCTTCTAGACGGGCAGAGACTCATCATCAGCTTTCTTCCTTTTAAGCTCTCGACGTTCTTTCTCCATACTAACTTCTTTTTGTAAATTGAACCGCCTCTGAACACTAGGGCGATGAACTGGCCCAGCACAATAAAGTTTTTCTTTATTCTAAACAGCTGTCAAGCAATTTGGAGGTGAAGCTATTGTGTAAGGGGAAGTGAGATTTTGTTTAGAATTGTCTTAAAAGAATATATATATATATATATAAATTTTCTTCGAATTCTTTCGTGTTCTTCTTTGATCTAATATTCTTCCAGTTTGTCTTGGGACTTCTTTTATGTCCGAAAATTCGCATCACGTATAAAAATGGTCACATGGAAAGGAGCCAGAAAAAATTGGGAGGAATGTTCGACTTTTAGGTGTTATTCATCTTTGTTTAGCTAGTTTTTACTATTTCAAATTTTGTTTCGCTTTTCTTTTACAATTACTTAGCAAAGCAGCTATTTTATTCAGCCTTTTTAATTCGCATTTCCTATTGTTTCTACGTAAATAATTTTAAGACTATTGCTCTTGCAGCCATTAAATCTTTTGTATAATGTATATCCAGACGTCCTAAATTTCATCTTCAGACAACTGTGAAGACAGTTTCGCATTTCTGGCAGAAGAACGTCGGCCATTACTTTGGAAGCAATGTCTGTCAAAAGATTTGCTTTGTAAACATTAGCACACACGTCAGCAGCGTACACCCATGGGCAAATAGTAGACGCTAAATTAACCAATCAGAGCGCGCACTTTGCTTTAGTTATGTTATAAATGTATTTTAGATCTTTAGTTTTTAGAGGACCCTCCTGAAAACCAGAATTAAGTGATTGAAGGCCTCCTCTTATTATTATCATTATTATTATAATTATTACTATTACGAGCCGCTTCAGCGAGTTTAATCTCAGCTTTTTGAAAAACTCACAAGTGCAAATTAAATCCAAATTAAAGGAGAAAACCGTATGATTGATTACTTATTAATAATATAAACATGCATGGAGGAAATGCCGGAAGACCTTTCCTGAAGCCATTTTTTCTCATTCGAGAAAACCTTTTTTCAAAGTTTCCGCACAAAACTTTCGTCATCATTTTTACGTAATATCACTGGCTTAGATAATTTCCTATTGTCTTTCAGCCAATCATAATCCAGAGTTATGATGTGTAATTTGCACTGGTGTTACACTTGAATTACACTGCTCTCAGCCAATCAGAATCGAGTCATTTTTCATGTATCTTATTCTTATTCTTATTCTTATTCTTATTCTTATTCTTATTATCGAATAACCAATCCACGCATAGGCAAACATTACGCGATGGGGAGCATGAAGCGTTTATTGCCTTCAAAATAATTCCTTTATATACTAGAGCGGGGATTAAACGTAGTTCACCCAGACGGTGTTAAGTGTTGTTGCTTATGCGAGCCACGGTCTTCCTAATTATCAAAGACTCTTGCATTTCTCAAAAACAATCCTCCACATTTGTGCTATTATTATTTTCGGTGTGAGGTATATATGAAATAATTCATATTTGAACTGTGGTAGTAGATGAAAGTGAAGAATGATCATCGCAGTAAATTTTCATATTTAAGCAATTGGAAGGAAGAAGCCAGGAAGAAATTCAGGGTTTCAACGGGATTCGAACCCGTGACCTCTGCGATACCGCTGCGATGCTCTACCAACTGAGCTATGAAGCCACACATTCTTCCTTCCAATTGCTTAAATTGGAAAATTTACTGCGATGATCATTCTTCACTTTCATTATTATTTTCATAACTTTAGAATAAACAAAACAGGAAGAGAGCAAAAAAAGAAAGTAATGATAATAATTAGAAATGTCCCTCAAGGCCTTTCTTTGACCTTATTCCCTTAAGCTAACTTCAGACTGTAATTACAACCCACGCGGCAAGACTTAATTATAACACGGTGATTTTGAATATTATTTTTTTCTCCTCTCGCACATTCAAGATGTAAGCAGTCTGGCCTTCTATCACAAAAGGATTCCAATCTCAAGTTCAGGAGTTCATGATTTATGTAATAAATTTTATATAAATTGTATAAATGAACTCCCAGGTATAAAGAGGAAAGCAGCTTAAGAGAAAACACCATGACCAGCTGTCGACCTCATTATCAACAGTCGCTCAATAATTTCAGTTATTCTTGAATACTATCTTTCACAAACAGTATTTTAGCTTCTACTACGGAATATTGTTATTACTGTCTGATTTAGCGTTTTCTTTTCTTCTCTTTTCTTTTCTTTTTTTTTTTTTATCTAATCCAGCAATTTTGTCATGTTAAATGTACAACAGACAACGGTGACAAAAATGTAGATGTATAGCTTGCAAGCAGGGTCCTTTTTTTCTTTTTCCGCCTAGAGCCTCTAAGCCTCGCAGGCTAGTAAAATACGTGCGAGGGTCTGGTCTATCGATTTTAGGCTTTTTAACTAGTATTTCTGATCGAATGCCTTCAATCGAAGTCGCTAAATTTTCCTATGCCGCTAAAGACAATGTCCTCCTGTGTGATTCTGTCCTTATAGTTTTCTAAAGCTTCTTAATTTTGTTCAAGGTCAAGGTCAAGGTCAACTTTATTTAGGCAGGGTGGCCCAATCAGCACTTGGCTGGTATCAAAAGGGGCCCTGCGTAAATTAAGACTACATTAAATTTCTATACATAGAGATTWACGTTTACAATTATAAAAAATTAAAAATAAAAACTACTCTCTAAAATAAAGTCTAAGAAGATTTTTAAAAATGGGGAGCGATGTTGCTTCTTTTATTGTAGTGGATAAATTATTAAAATGAAGCGCACCAGAGTATCTGAAAGTCCTTTTCCCTAGCGTTAACTTGGGTTTCGGCAAGTGCATGTCGTTCCTTTTCCTCGTGTTNTGGACGATTGTTTGTGCGTTTGTATGTTGCGCTCCGTGAGAAAACTGCACTGTGTCAACTGAATTCGTTCTGATCGCGTTGTAGTACGTGTACGTACGTTGAGGTCTTCGTCAATAGCTACGTTTTGCGTGTGTTGAATGTTATATTTGCATTAAGGCTTATAACCCAAGTGGAAACCTATCTTGATCTTTTTTTTTTTGGTTCATTCTTTCAGGGATATTAATCCTCATATTCCACAGTATATCTCTCAAGCTCCTTGGTACTATGGCACCTCAAGGTAAGAGTTAAAAACATACCTCTTGAAGGTTCTGAGTAGTTTGTTTTTAATCTTGATGGCTACTAAAACATTAACAAAGCCTTGTGTTTTCAAGCTGAAACAGGAAGCTGTTTGTCTTTGCAGAAGGTCCATGTACAGTTTATAGAAATCCATTGGCTGCAGCATTCTCCTGAGAACCCTGCACTGAGCTAGCTGCTGTATATTGTTTTGCACTACATTTGTTTTGATTTTAATTCTTTAAATTTGGTGACTCTTGGAAGTATCCTGTGGTAGACTAGTGTCCCATCCACTAGGAATACTCCTGTTCAGTTTATGCTATGGAACTTATGATGGGCCAGTTTATCTGACCCAAGTTCACTCTAGGGTGATTTTGACTAGCATTGTGATTGGTTTATTCTTCCACCTCTGCTTCCAACTCCAACAATGTAGTTTTCACTAGATCATAAGTAACAGGACCATAAGCAGAATTGGTATTCTGCTTTTGGCTCTCTTGGTTTATTTTCACTAGATCGTATCACTCTGTACCTATAATTTACGACTCCGACTAAGACTAAGTCGCTAGTAGTGAAAACCACCTTTAATAATTACTAATTTATTTAGCTTTTTATATACGAAACACCATGGCTACTACTTGAAATCATAACTTTGATTTACATTTTTAGACCAACCTTGAAACATCAACGACCTCAAGAAGAAAAACAGAAACAATTTTCATCTTTAAATGAGTGGTATAACAGAGGAACTCAAGCTGTTGTAAGTTAATAGAATAATGGTAGTATGTTAGGATATGAATGAAATAGAATCAGACTTACAAGTGTTCTATACATGATGTTTAAGAAAAGTGTTTTGTCCTATAGGCCCCTGCTGCTACTAAGTTCAGGAAAGGAGCTTGTGAAAACTGTGGAGCAATGACTCACAAGAAGAAACACTGTCTTGAGGTATTTCAATATATTGTAATTATCAGGACTGTCATTAAGCTTTGACTCACTAGTAGCCTTGATCTTCACACCTGTAACACACTTGTTACTTTATGGGTGAATTGTATCAACTACAGGCAAGTGAAGATGTAACATCAAAGGCCCATCAAGCATGCTCAGCCACAACATATGCCATGGGTTACGGCCGTTATTGACAGCCCTGATTATTTTGTAGTACATTCTGACTTTATTAGTTAATCATTAAACAGTCTCCACTCTCTGTTCTTTAGATTGTTTTTGTTGTTGTTGTTGTTGTTGTTTTTTTTGTTTTTTGAATGCCCTGTACAACTGGTGTGTATACAATGTACAGTAAGACAGTCAAGGGAGAGTTCAAGATGCAGTTCTGAATTTAAATGTTTTATCAAGGTTCCCAATAAAAGCCAGTTACCAGTAGTCCACAACCACTTATGTAGAGTCTCATACTAACGTCTGTTCAGATAATTTTCATTTGCAAGATTTGCCTTAGATACACTGCTGTTCAAACTCAAAATGTGCTGTCAAGTGTACAGGCAAACAGTAGTCCTTTTGATGTCCAGAACGCAGGAAATTGCATTTCCTACATGTAGATGCTAGATTTCATTATTTTTTTTGGTGGGGGAGGGGGGACATGTCCCCAAAACCCCTAGGGAAAGGGGACCTTAACCCTCTTTCATGGCCACAACCACCTACACTGTATTACAAAATCGGCAGCGGCTTATAAACAATTTTGTTAAAACTCCTGTACAAGATGCATGTACATGTAGTATTAATTCACTCATGTCTGAAATTTGTACTTGTGCAGAGACCTAGAAGAGTTGGTGCCAAGTTCACTGGTGATGATATCAAACCTGATGAACAACTACAGCCACAACTTTCATTTGATTATGATGGAAAAAGAGACAGGTGAAATAATCATATTGACTAGTAAAATGTTAACTGTCTTTTATCTTCTCTCTTCATTTTCCCACATCCCCTCAACCCCTTTTCCCTTCCTTTCCTCCAAAATTATCCAACAAATTATCCAACAAAATTATCCAACAACCTCCATCGGCACCACTACCTTAAACTCCTCTAAATCCTCTTTTTTCTCTCCTCCATGACTCTACCTCTTATTAGTTACAGTGCCTCTTCCTAATCTTCCGCCTTCTCATAATTCTACAAACAAAGAGCAAAAAAAAAAAAGAATCCTTCTCCTTCAACTTCCATTCCTTGACCCTTTCCTCTGTCACATTCACCTAATAGGAGCTCCTGAGCTTTTTTGTCAACACCTTTCTTCCTTTCCCAGTTTTTCATTTTGTTCTTCTCTATCTTTCCATGTGCCTCATTTCATATGCAACAACTCTTCCTCCTACGTTCCTATTTCCTCTCTCAATACCCATAGTAACATCCTCTTTCTCCCATCCTACTCATCCGACTCCACTTCCTCTGATCTCAACAACTCTTAATCCCTCACATTGTATCTTTCTTCCCCCTCCTTCTTCTAGGGCTCCCCTTCTCCCCAGCCACATGCCCCTTCTCTGCTACCTTTTCCTGCTACGTCTTAATTACTACATTCCTTATCCCATTTTCCTTTTACTCTCATCCTTTACATGGATCAATATCTCACCCACCTTATTCCTTAGAACTTCATTCTTGCTTTGAACATTGATTTTTATATTCTAAATTATGTATTTTATTTACGTTTGTTGATTTATTTTAGTTTCATAATATTTTTTTCAATACCATTTAGGTGGAATGGTTACAATGTTGAAGACTACAAGAAAGTTGTGGAGGAATATACCAAGTTAGAAATGGTAAGTTAGAAGCCTGTTGCTCTTGCAGGGCACCAGGCTCTTGTTCAGATCACTGTAGGTCAGCTGGTCAGTAGAAGGCTGAAAGACAGCCATAAGCATACCCAGGGCTGTGTTCTAGAAGCACCCGGGTGCCACGGGTGACTAACTTTTGCCGTTGAGTGACTGGAAAAAGTTACTTTTTTCTTATAAACTTAAGTGGTGGGCATCTAAGATTTCATGGTTTGGAACCTTTGGGCTCCTCATAATTTTTCTTAGACCACAGCCTTGCTTTTAAGTTCAAAAGACAATCAATGGATTGTGAACTGTTACACAACCATAGAAAAATCAGCCTTACATGTTGATGTTGTCTTTCTAGGCCAAACAACACTTAAAAGCGGAAAGGTTGGAGGAGGAATTAGCAGAAGGAAAAAAGCCTGAAGTCGTGGTAAGACACTTGTATTGACTGGAAGAAGAAATCAGCTAAAATTCTGCTGTACAAAAGCCTTAAAACNAATAAATTGTCTTATCACTCAGTATTTGTATAACCTGGACCCCAATTCAGCGTACTACGATCCAAAGACAAGGTCAATGAGAGAGAACCCTTTCAAAGAAAGAGATGGAATTGCAAACAAGTAAGGGTTGCGTTGAATTTTATTTATCCTTGAAGATTAATCTTCGGCATTTATTGTACTCTATTTGTTTGCAAATGCTAAAACTTGTGTTTGATGATTTTGGTCATGTGTTCAATTTCTTGAACTTTTATTAATTTCTTAAATTGGAGCTGGACTCAAATATAAACAAAAAAAACAAAAGTTTTTACACAAAGGCGACCTCGTGATATAAATTACTGGTGAGGTAAGAAGTGAACCCTACAGGTAGGTTTATAACACAAAAATAGATGACGCGGGGCGAAAATGTCTTTGGTACGCCAAACGGACTGCAAACCTACATTTTGTAACTCGATGGGTTTATTTTAATGGTTGATTTTAATTGTGACAGAAAAAGGGTTAGATATTGCCTTTTATCTCATGAACTTACTTCATCTTAACATTCAAACCCCACGCATAGTTAATTTATGTTTAAATAGGCATCATAATTGATATTACACTACCTGGGTTTGTATTTTGAAAAGACGAAAGGTTGAATAAATCCCAGGTAAGTTTAGTCCACTGGCCAGGAAAACGAATAGCTTGATGTTCAGTGACTATCTCTGGTCTCTTACCCTGGAGGAAGTGCCGGAAGGGATGGCTTGAAGTTTAGGCTAAACAACGGACGAATTGAAGTAAATGAAAACGGGCCATTTTAAATCATGTTAAGTTCGTTCAATTTGAGTTCTTTTCACTGTAACTTCTTTGTATCATGTGTTCCGATGTGTAGTCAATGTTTTTTTTTCCCTATCGCTTAAAGACGCATTTTAAATTGAATTAACTGGCTGGCCGTTCCTATGTGCATTCAATGAACTCAAAGGTGGCGAAGAAAGCGTTTGAAAATGAATTCAATTCAGNTTCGATAATAAAATGACATTTGCAATCATGGCTGTATTTAGAAGGCGTATAAAGCGAATCAGCTTCATGGGCTTCGTTGCGTTTGCCATGCTGGTTGCGAGGGATCTCGGAGTTGACTTTGCTGGATAAACGTTGAGCTTCACTTCATTTGCGTCTTTAGTAGCCATAAGAATTTGAAGGTTACTGTGTTTTTTTTCCCTATCGCTTAAAGACGCATTTTAAATTGAATTAACTGGCTGGCCGTTCCTATGTGCATTCAATGAACTCAAAGGTGGTGAAGAAAGCGTTTGAAAATGAATTCAATTCAGTTCTTTTATTTACACTTTATAATATAGATGAGATCCTGCGCGCACTCTGATTGGTCAAAAACCTATGTTTTATCAAAGTGTAAAACATAGAAAAAGCGTGTTTTATTGTTTTTCGTGACATTACTACTAGTCCACATGTTTGTTAGAGATGACGAAAAACGTTTTCTTTGAAGAAATTTGTGATGGAGTTCTCTGCGAAGCAGCAGGAAGTTTTGAAGACGAGGCATGTAGCACTTTAATGGTATTAAATTGCGTCATTTTGTCGATCTCTGGGCTTTTTTGTTCCTGTGATAAAACACTCCAGAGATTTGACAACACTCGAGAAATGTAGAAAACACTTGCCTGCAGCTCGTGTTTTCTACATTTCCCTCGTATTTTCAAATGCCTGTCGTGTTTTATCACAGTGTAATACACGGCTTAGGCTTCTTTATTTGTTAAATACTGGGCATTTTAAATACAATTTATAGGTAAAGTAAATGAAAAACGTAAAAACTTAAGAGAAACAGAGCTGTAAAGAAATAAAATTCATATGTGAGCAGTGACCAAAGTAAAAAGAGCTTTCTGGTTGGATACCACCATGGTCAAGGAAATGGAAGCAAAAANTGAGCTTCACTTCATTTGCGTCTTTTGTAGCCATAAGAATTTGAAGGTTACTGTGTTGGGTTCCTTGAGGGCAAAACTTCGAGACTTGAGCAAGGAGTAAACATATTATTAAATAAAATGTAAGAGAGCTCGCAAAACTCGACCGACCCGCCATCTTGACCACGTGAAAATTCCTTGTTGAGAAATATTGCCTTTCTTTACATAAACAAAACGTGCAATTAATATGGTAATATGGTGTAATTTTCATCTCTTTTTATAAAGCTAGCATATAGCAACAAACAGTGTAAATTTACACTTCAACAAGGAAAACGCCTTCATTTACGGAACGCTAAAAGCCCTTGTTCTTGCAATTACCCTTTACTGTTAAACTGTAAACTCTGTTACAAGCTTTACTATTATAGCTATTTTTAACATGTTTCTTGATGATGGGTGTTCAAGATCAACTGTGTAGGACTTTCGTCTTCCTTTTAGCATGCAGCTGTTAAATTGAAGGAGTTAATTAATAAAACATTGACATGTCTGGAATCGTGCCGTCCCAAGTGGCATTATTGTTAAGCGAATGTTAAGCAATACATTGGAAAACACAACAATAAATGGTATTATAAATAGAAGGCATCAACGGAAAAGGAAGAAACATTTTTACATTTATTGCAAGCGTTTGACGTCTAGCAACCTGAAGTCAGCATGTGTAAGCCATTTGACTTTGTTCCGTATTCCGTTGTTTAATTTGCGGCCTGTATGGCGTTAACCAGCCTACCTCAGAAAGTTCCAGCACTCTTTTTAAAAGATATCAAAATATATGGTAACCTTGAAGTTTTCTTAAAATTTGGCAGATTTTAGCATCGATATTCTTAAATTTCTGATGCTAGTCACTTGTTTGGCATGAAAACAACCAACAACCTCAAAAACTAGTTCTTACAATCTTTTTTTTTTTTTTTTTGGTAAGAATATTGATATAATTGATATTTTTAGCTTGTGGTAATACAAAGTGGGGTATGTCGACACAATGTCAGATAATTTGTCCTATCATATCATGATTGATGGCGTTGAAGTTACTTTAGAGCCAGAAGCCTGACATGCACATAAGTTCTTGCGGAAATGTTCTTAGCATCGAACATACGGCTAGTGCTATTTGTGTTGCTTCTGGGCTAGTATTGCTGTTTAGAGAAAAGAAGAATTTTTAAACGGTCTAATGAAAAACATATAATTATATGTGTTGTATTTTCTACTCTAAACACACAAAATTATATTCTTTTCAAATTGTCAGCCTCGGGCTTACCGGATACTTTTAGAGGTGTCTCGTGTCAAAGCGATGTAGTGCTTCCGGTTTCAACTGTAGATACCTAACCATCATATTCTTATTTTTCTTCTTTTGCAATTGCAGTCCAAGTTACAGAATGTTTTCAAAATAGATTTAAATAAAATGGTATTCTCCTACTAAAATCATTCCCGAAGAAAAAATATTTCGAATTAAAAGAAAAAAAAAAAAATCCCAGACAAAATTTTGTTGTTTATATGTTAGCTAGCTACTGTCCAAATATGAGGGCAAACGGAAAAATTCCCTTTGACTTGCCGCTTTCAAAAGGTGATTCCGACACTCACAGTTAGAAGTCTTGAAAAATTCGACAATTTATTTTATTTCAAAACAGATTTTGGTATAGTTTGATAGCCAGCTCTATAAGCTTTAATTTGGTTTAGGTATTTGGTATCTACAGTTTAAACCGGATGCACCTCATCGCTTGGATGCGAGACACCTCTAAAGGTATTTGTAATCTTAAATATTAGTGAAATTTCAGCCACAATATCCTTATAAAATATAACCTTATATAATTAAGGCTGTCATTACACGATAAATTTATGTGGTATTATACTAAAACAAACGCTCAGTAGTGGTTTGAAGTACTAGGTGGTATATTCCCCCAAAGTGACGCCTTTTCTAGTTATTACTATATGGCTGTGTCTCACAAGGACTGGGAACTACCGAATTCACGAATTTGATTGGCTGAAATCGATATTGACCGCGGTCTAGATTTTCCCATCTAGACCGGCATCTGGACCTCGGTTGTGTGTACAGACCTCGCTGCGTTCGGTCTGTACTCACGACCTCGGTCAAGATTCTCCCATACAGACCTCCTGCTCGGTTAATAAGAGCTAAATAATAGTCATTCTTAAAATCTATGAAGGTTCTTGTTCGATGCGGCTTTGTGACTTATGAAGGCGTTTTGTTACTGCATATATAAAAGAAATAGGGGAGGTCCCGTAGAGAGGGGCGGGGCAAAAACTCAAATTTGGATGTAACATTAACATCGGCTAGTCCGTATCTGTAAATAATAGAACTTGTGAGCAATTATAATCCTTCTTGCGGCTGAGAAAAACGAAACTTCAGAAAAAGCGTAACATAATTCTTGAAGGTTGTCGAAAAATTCACCATACATTTGCATGTGCGTTGGGTTGTCAAAATACTTGATAGCAACTGACCACGTTTGTAAAAAGCCAGCAGAGTTAATTACACGGAGACGTAAGAGCGTCAGAGTTCATGATAGTTGAATAATACCCATGCAGATAAATGAAGATAATTCTTTTTCTTTTCATCTCTTTCTGAGTTTCTCTCCTCACAGTTTTCTGCTTAATTTTGCAGGGAAATGTTCGCTTTCTTCCGTTACACAAAATTTACAATTAATATGTTAAGATATGGTAATTGTGCACGTACCTGTGCGTGTACGTAGTTGTCGTCTCTTTATATAAAGCTACATGTACAACGCAGCAACAAACAATCGAAATTTTACTCTTCAACATGGAAATCACTTTCAATTAAGACACGCTAAAAGACCTTGTTCTTGCAAATGTTGCCCTATACTGTATAACTGTAAACCAGTAGTAATTTATACCATTATAGCTCTTTAAATAGAGGTACTTGTCTTTTGATGATAGGTGTTGCAGATCAATTATCTAGGACTCTCGTTTTCCGCTTAGCATGCAGCTGTTAAATTCGAGCAATTAATAAAACATTGACATGTTTGGAATCGTACCCTCCACAGTGGCACTCCTGTTAGCTTTGTTTAAGCGAATTTTAAGCAATAAATTTGAAACAAAAAAAGAAACAAAAAAACCCCCAATAATTGGAAGACATAGACGACATCAGCTGGAAAGGAAGAAATATTTGGCATTTATTGTAAACCTTTGACCACAGATGACGTGCACTAGGCATGTGTAAGTTATTTGACTTTGTTCATCAACTTACAACCGGTGACCTGTATGGCGTTAAAACAACATATCTCAAAAACTTCCTGCACCTTTTTTTGATAACGTTATAGTTTTCACGCCCAGCCATAATATTCTTCTTTTTTTTTTTTCTGGCGATTTAAAGCTGAACATCTTCTTGTGAATATCATTAGATTATGGTAATACAAAGTAGACAATACCGAGACAATGTCATTTGACCTGTCCTATAATGACTTTGATGGCATTGAAGTAATTGTAAAGCCAGGCTGCTGGTAATGAAGCTTGAAATGACAAACAAAATTTCTTGCGGAAATGTTATTAGGATCGAACATACGGCTTGTACTGTTCTTGTTGTTTCTGGCTAGTTTTCCCCTTAAGTGAAAGGAAAAATTTTTAAACGGTTAGGTTAAAAACATATAATTATATGCATTGTATTTACAATTTTCAACACACAAAATCATATTCTTTTCAAAATGCCCGCCTCAGGTTTATTCTTAAAATTTTGCAAATTTCAGCTCCGATATTCTTAGGAAAGATATATTTTTATGTTAAAAAAGAGGGTAATTACATGAAGAATATACATGTATGTCAACGTTATTGTGGTTAAAATTTATGTTCAGTGGTAGTTTTAAATACTTACGTAATATATTTCCCCAAAACGGATGTGTTTGCATGTAGCTTTTCTTTTATTAATAATAATCAAAACTGAAATCTATGGAGGTTTTCCTTCGATACGGTGTTGTGGCTAATTGAGACGTTTTGTTTCTGTGTATATAAAAGAAAAATGTGAGAGGTCTAGTAGAGACGGGCAGGACAAAATCTCAAATTTGGGTGTAAAATCGGCTAGTACGTATATGCAGAAACTAAGCTTGTGAGCAATTCTAAACTTCTTGTGGCTGAAGCTAAGGAAGTATTTGAACTTTTTGATCATAAACAAAATGCTTTACTTTAAGACACTTGAATTGCGCTCGTTTTTAAGTAACATATCGAATACTTTTTATCACTAGGGAATGGAATAAGATGCTCGCGCGATTCCGCAGTATTGAACAAGAAGTTTACTCTTCTACACCACCTGCGATGCAATTAACACGCTGTAAATGACGAGTTATACTGTCGCCCTTACCTGTCTAAACAATGGTGGTCAACTGAATGATGACGTAGCTGTGGAGCTAGTACAGGTTTTACATTGTTTGAATGATTATGACTCATGAAGAAATATAAATTTGCATTATGTTTTCAATCTTTATTTCGATGGGTTTGTTTATGTGAAAAGAAAAAAAGAAACTTCGGAGAAAGAATTACCTAATTCTGAAGGTTTTCGAAAGAGTTACCATACACGAACGTTGGTTTACAACTGACCGCGTTAAAAGCCATTAGACTAAATTACAGAGAGCAAGAACGTCATGATAGTTGAATAAGATCGCTAGAATGCCAATTTATATACACGTAAATTCTACGAACAACTGATCTGTCAGCTTGAGGAGGTGTATTTATCACACGATCACGTAACGTTTTTATAGGAACTACTGAGAATGAAAGGGCCCTGAAGCTGATACGGTGGTGGTTCCGAAAACAAAACCCGAAACTGACAAGGACCTTCCTTGAAGCCTTTAGTCAATGTTTTATTTGCCAAATTAAGAAAAAGTGAGATATACGCCGAGTGAGGTAATATTTTATGCACAGCTTTTGCCACTCGGCCACGAAGCAGAACTTAGCATTCAGACGAGTGTCTCTATGTTAAATAATAATGATAAAAGCTTCAACAGAGAGTAATAAGTGGTAGTATCCAGCCAGTCTTGTTTCTCGCTCAATTACAGTGTACTATGCGAAAGATTTCTATAAATTTAGTTTAAATGCCTTATTTTCTGAGCTATAAAAATAATTTTTATTCAAACACTACGGCACGCAAGTTCTTTTCAGCTTGAAGAAGAATAGTGTTTTGGGGGATTCTTAGCTTCCTCTCCATCCCCAACTATCAAAAGACTGAGCGATGATAACCAGTACAACAAGACCGGAACATGGACAATCGATACCTTTAATGCAATGCTTCCATGTTCATGTATGTCAGAGTGGCCCTTATGAAATTTGGAAGACAACATAAGTAATTCAATTTGACAAATACAATTCACCGCTACTGAAAATTAGCATTCATTTATTTCTTCGCATCCGCAGACACTTGAGAATCTTTGTTGTATTTTTTGACATTTCTGACAGACCGTGGCGGCATAATAACAGCTGATTGTATAAGGTAACCTTGAAATTCAAGTGGTGCATCATTTCACACTTAGCCTTCTTCGTTCTTGTGCTCAAATTAAGCACGAGTCACTAACAATACGAAATAATTGGAAACCTTTCTGGTCAACTTATTAAAAATTGGATCGAACGCGTCTGCTTAGCGAAGAGTTTATAGCTTGTCGCCGAACAAACCTTCTCAAGGTAAGAGTTTGGATTCAGAAACATTTTGTGGTGTTTGAATTCACTCCTGAGAGCGAGATGTTCGGTCAAAAGGGCATTTTTAAAACAGCTGATGTAAATTGTATAGCTACTGTTGATTGCATTATTTGCGAAGTCGTTTCTCGATTTAATATTGCTTGTATGTAACTTTCTACTGTGTAGAAGTATAGACGTAATCGAAGCAAGAAAAGAGTACTTCTTTGTTTCGTCAGGCCTGTGTAGACACACAGTACTATGTACTGGTCCTCAAAGTGTTTAACGTGCAACGCGTTTGAGATTGCTATGGTTCTTTCTTACATGCACATGTCTAGCTCCTCCCATTTATTACTTCGCTTTATTCATGTCAACTAAAAATGTTCTTCAAAACATTGTTAATCACTGCGTAACAGAAAACACAAAAAATAATATTAAAACTGGGAACTTCACCCAATCTTCACTTAAGTCGGTAGTTTGCGATTGTATTATGGGGACCTTTAATGTTCAGCTTCGAATCGCAACATTCATGCAAGGAAAAAATTTTGAGCCACATTTAACTATAAAATAAGGCATTCAGTTCCAACAAACGAACAAACATAAAATAGATAAATTACTAACTAAAAAGCCAGAGAGAAAAAAAAATGTAGGAATGGACAACCGTGAATTTTCAACCGGACGGTTCCAGCTGAAAATTACAAGGTTAATCGAAATAATAGATCTAAATTACTTAACATATTCATTGTGGGAATAAGCACGTATATTTTAATGGTGGTTACTTCAGGCTCTAAAGGATTCTGTCTGATGCTGGACACTCAAATACTTTAAGGCTAAGTGACAATTTTATTTGAAATACCCCACTTGAGTCCTCCAGCTACCGTACTAATGGCAAGCTATTATTCCTCTCAGGTGACGTGAGAAACACGATGAATCAATCAGGAACCCGATCAGGAACTGGGTTTAGCGAAGAGGACTCAAAGCTGATCGACTTGCCTCAAGTTTGGACTATCTTCCTCATGCTTGTCATGATCCTTGTTCAAGTCTTGACAGTTCTTGGGAATATCACAGTCTTGGTAGTTCTGCGCTATTCAAACGTTCTAAACATGATTGTCAATTGTCCTCTGCTGGTTTCTCTGTCGATTGCAGATCTTCTGGTAGCCATTCTGGTAATGCCTTGCGCACTAGATGCCGTCAATACAGGTTCGTGGAGATGCGGAAAAATCTGGGGCAAGTTCAACGGATTTGGAAACTTTCTTTTCTGTATTTCGTCAATTATACATCTAATGGTGCTGTCGTTTGATCGTTATCTAGCAATTTCTCGCCCACTATTTTATCCATTCGAAATGACCACTAACCGAGCTATAATCATCTGTCTCGCCGCCTGGATGTATTCAGCACTTTGGGCGTTCTTACCCTTATTCGGTGTAAGTTCCTACGAGTGCTTCATCTCCTACATCGGCGAGTGTCAGGCTGAAGACTGGTCCAAATATGGTTTAAATTTTGTTTTCGCCATTTCCGTTGTGTCAGGGACATACGGCCTGGCTTTGGTAGCGATGGTGTACGTCTATTGGAAGATTGCGTGCGTCATACGAAGTCAAAGCCAACGCATTGCAAATACTGCAACCAGCTGTAATACAAGTCTCTCCGACACCAACAACATGAAGTCTTCCTATAGGAGTTCGATAGCTTTTACAAGAAAACTTAGCCAGCATAAAGGTGTTATTACCCTATTGATAGTTATCGTAGTCTATCTAATATGCTGGTCTCCATTTTGTTTCCTGCTCTTTTATGAGATCGGATCGGGAGAGAAAGTCAAAGGACCTGCAGGCACAGTGGTAATGTTAGCTGGGTTTGCAAACAGCTGCTGCAATCCAATGATTTATGCCATAAAATACAAGAACTTTAGAGCTGAAGTCATGCGCTTGCTGCCAAAGAAGAGGCTCAATTTAGACAACGTCTATTTTGACAGGAAGAAAAAGAACGTGAAACTAAGAACGCTTGAAAATAACGTCAGGAATAGTGGAATGGATGCAAAAGTTTCAACACTGGACCTTTCCAGTATAAATAAACACTATTTTAGTTGAGGTAGAAATGGTCGAATTCTCCTAGTTCGCTATCTTTTATTTAGCTAACGGAAAACTTTAAAAAATATCTTTCTGTTTAAATAAGCATTTCACACTAAGCTCACGCATAATTCAGTTTCAAACATGTATTATTAACTACTTAATAACCGAGAGTGATTTCGTTACGGGAAAATCTCAAACTGAGGCCTTGCCGTATTGACCGAGCGATCGCGAGGTCAATACGGTAGGCCGAGGTTTGAGATTTTCCCGTAACGAGCGAACGGTCGAGGTTATCAAGTTGTTTATTATATGGCTCATAAATTAGAGAAAAGAAAAAAAAAATTCAAGCGAAAGTCGTCAATTTACATCCGGTAATGCGCGCGTTTACCAATTCATTCATCGTCTCAAACCCAGGGCAAAACTACACAGTCAATGAACTTCACCGCTCTATTACGTATTCCGTTAAAAACACATTTCTTTACGGGAAAAATGATTGTCACAGCCTCAAAAAGGTATTTTAGTATCGTGGGGCCAAAACTTGATGGGAGAGTCTTTCCGACTTTTGGGGCGAAAGGTCAACGCACTTAGAAAAGAGAAAAAGTGCTCTGAAATAGTCCAAACTGAAATAGGTCTTTCGGTGAAAGAAAATACTGCGCAACATAAATCGATCTTCGCATTCGTTCGACAACATATCTTCGCCTTCTTCATGATTTATGGATGAACTTTTCAAGCCTTGTGAACGTCTAAAACTTCCTGCAGTTATCAGAAACACTGCTACCGACAGAAAACGCCCGATTGTTTACATCTGATGTTCCTGGAAGCTTGTTTGTGTTAAAGCTAGGGAATCTATTTGATGAAAACTGTGACGGAGTTCAATATTGCAGTAACTGTTGTGACTAAGATGATAACGTATAAGTTTCTTCGTGGTGTTCTGCTCAGGATGCATGACAGATCTGCCGATGGTGTTTTTCACTTGGCGATTTTAGCTTCACTTAAGACTCGGCAAACTTTGATTGGTTTTCACTAGTGCCCACCAAGGTCACAGGCTGGTAAGTCAAAAACGACTTCTACATAAATTTTATAACGGAAAAATCTCTGAACTTTTAGCCTCTCGGAATTAAATTTACTTTCTCTCACTGTTTTTAATCGGCTTTCATCGTTTCAAGGCGCTTGAATTTTCAGAGCCGGGCTCTTCCTAATTTGCATAATCCGTAATCGGCCCGTGGGCATTACGACTGCATAGTGACCGCTCAGATCTCGCTCTTAGCCAATCAGAACGCGCGTTATATCGGCCACAAGCCAAAGCCATATAATAATGATTAAAAATAACTGACTTTATTATTTTAACACAAAGAACTGAAACATAATCCTCGAGTTGTAGACGAAGCGCGGATAATGCAATTTTCTGGGGAGTTTTAATTATTACATTGTTTTAGTTTTCTATATTCAGGGGCGGTTTTTCATAAAACAATTATTCCACTCGCGCCTATTGCAAATGAGATGATTAAAACCAACTCAACGCAACACGGCTCGTTGGCTATCTATCATCTCATATCCAGCGTGTGCTCGTGGAATAATTGTTAAATATATTTGTATATTGTTAATTTTACACACAATCCTTCCATTCCTCAATTATCGTGAGAAAAATTCTCAGCTGCAGAGCCTTCGGTCTTTAAAGCCCTGGAAACATTACGTCCGGCATATAGTTTAAGTCTCGCCGGAAGAATGGGTTCCATAATGAACGCTACTAGGTGACTGCTTAATTCAATTTCTATTTCCAAGAATTGTTTTAAATCTTGCGTTTTTTTCGACCCGAAATTATAAACATTTGGTACAGAGTAATTTGCATTTAGGAAAGCAAAGAATGACTTTAGTTGAACAATACATGTGTTTGTCCCGAGGTTACCGTCTTGTTTTGACTGACGTTGTGCAGAATGAAATATGGTGGTCTGGATGGGGTCAAATATGGGATACCACTAAAATCATTCAGAAAAGCTGTATCCTTCCTTCGCGTATATTCCTTCAAGAACGTCTTTTCTTGCTTGGAGTATTTACTGCAGTTTCACAAGGGTGTCATCATTTACAAGTGATTACGCATTCCCCACTCCACTTTTTGTTTTGCGTCAACTACTTAATAAACAATCGCCTCCATTTGGCGTGAAAATATGCTCGGATATTTGTCCGCGGATATTTGTCCGTGTGATAACCTATTGCATATGAATATTAATGTAATGTTGAGAAATTAGTGTGGACAGGATTTTGTCTGGTAGACCACGGTATCCTTTAATCTTGTATCTCTTTTAATGTCAAAAGCTGGCAAACTTTGTCACATTATCTGAGATTTACCCGTGAACTGATTTAGTTTCACGTTTCATTGCATTCGGAATTTGATGTTTCCATGGGAACTTTAAAACTTTAAAAAGAACGTGACGGCGTTTTATTTATCTCCTAGTCTTCTTCCTGTCTTGTGGTAGGCGCAGTGGCGTCATGGTTCCGGGTTCAAGCCCTAGCCGGGGACATTGGGTTTTGTTCTTGGGTAAGACATGGTGCCTCTCTCCACCGAGGTGTATAATACAAATGGGTACTGGCGAATTTACTGCTCGGGGTAACCCTGCGATGGATCAGCATCCCATCCAAGGGGAAGTTGAAATACTCCTAGTCGCTTCATGCTACATAAACCGATAAGCGCCGGCCTGATGGTCCCATTGGCTCGTATGCAGACTTTAACTACTTTTTTCCCGGCTATACTATCACTATAAAAGTTTTGCATAGAATGCAAGTCAAGTAGTAAATTGAAAGTGTGCACCTTTCGGACTTAAAAAGCTTTGGAGGAGAACAAAATTCGACTTTTTGTTCGCAATTGGACNCCCACTATCAGTGAAATTTAGTGTACATGTTAAAAAGTAGATTGCTTTCCTGAGTAAGTTATTGCAGCTGTTTTTATTTCTCGAAGGATCCAAGCTCAACTCTAATTGCTTTTGTTGACTACTTTACATCGAGAATTTTTAAAGTTGTTGTTTAATCAAGGTGATTGAACTTTTATGACATTTACCGAGAGCTTCGAATCCACCGTAGGAAAAAAGATGGCGGCTCTACATTTTACCACAGTACCTTGCGAACCTAACACAGCCTGTAAGGCACAAAGAAAGACAAATTCTTACAATATTTGTCTCTGTACTAAGGACTTTGTGTATGCTAGCTTTTAAGATTTTGTAACTCTTCTGTGCGTTTTTATGAACGTTGTTAAGGCTTTGGCTCGCTAAGAACTGTGGGTAAATGTACCAGTCGCCATCCTTTTTCCTACGGAGGATTGGTAGCCTGCGAACAGGCTCCCGCGAAGGCTGAAAAATATTCGGCGAGTTCCCCCTTGTTACCAGACCGCTCGCCCTGTACCACACTCGGCTAGCTCGCACTAAAACCCAACCGGGTGCTTGTTCGTAGGCTACGAGTTAATAATTATATGTCTTAGTTTTGTTGTTGCTGTTTAAAAGATATTGAAAATATAACCACTGTAATGCTTCAAGATTGCAAAAACTGTAGATGGTAATGGTTGTCGTCTGTTTCTGGGCCGCCATGATAGCTACAGTGTATATGTCTAACAAAGGAACCTTTTGCTCTAACCTCCTCCCTTCAGTTTCATTCACAGTCTTGATTCTGTTATTTCCAGTGGATGTATTCTCCTGACGTGATCATCACCAATTGTAGACATTCCAGCGTTAGACATCGAAAACTTCAAAACGAAATTTGTTTTACCCAGCATTTTAATCACGGCGATTCTAAATCTCCTGTATTTTATCGAATAAATGACAGGATTGCAGCAGCTATTCGCAAATCCAACAAGCATGGCAACGGTTCCGTAAGGTCCTGGTATCTTCTTCCCTGTTCCAATCTCTACGAAGAGCAAAATGCAAAACGGTGACCAGCATACCAGGTAAACCAAAGTCACAACCAGTAACGTGACCACCCCTTTGTTTCGGCTCAGTTTGTTGGCCATCTTTGCCTGCTTGTTTGTAGTCGAAGGACAGTTATTTTCCCTGTTGTTCGCCGACGTTTTGCGGTCCGTGTACGTAACATCTTTGATGCGTCGAAGTTGCTTTCGGATAACCCGAGCAATCTTCCAATACACGTACACCATGGAGATCAAAGCCAGGCCGTAAGTGCCAGACACAACGGAGATGGCAAAACCAAAGTTCAAACCATATTTGGACCAATCTTCCGCCTTACACCAGCCGATGTAACTTATAAAGCACTCGTAAGAACTTACACCAAATAAAGGCAGAAACGCCCAAACGGCGGAGTAGGCCCATAAAACGAAACACAATATAATGGCGCGTGACTTTGTCATTTCAAGTGGATAAAACAACGGACGAGCAATTGCCAGATAGCGATCAATCGATAACATCATCAGATGCATAATAGACGAAATGCAGAATAAAAAATTTCCAAATCCGTTGAACATGCCCCAGATTTCCCCGCATCTCCATGTACCTGTGTTGACAGCATCTAGTGCGCATGGCATTACCAACGTAGCTACAAGAAGATCCGCGATCGATAACGAGATTAAAAAGTGTGAGTTAACGATGGAGTTGAGCACATTTGAGTAACGAAGAACAACCATAACGGCAATATTTCCTACTATAGTCAACATGACAACAATAACCATTATGGCGACAATAATAATTGTCCAGACTTGAGGTATATCGACAAGCTTGATGTTGTCGTTGGGTTCTTTGGTGTCTTCTGTCGATAATGTGTCGTTCATAACGTTTTCTGTCAAAAAAGAAAAAAAAAATAGACATGCATCATTAAGAATCGTGATTGTAATGGCTACACTGCTCATTATATCCATGCATGTATATTGTCATATTAAAGGGAATATGAACTGCATTAAGACATTTACCCACTACACGATTCGCTGCCGACTATTATCAAACTGTCCATTATACTTGTATGTTTTTATCAATATAAACGAACAACACACAAGGCGGTTTCAATCGTAAGCCACTGAGGAACGAGATTTTGTGCTATTTACACACTGCTTCCTTTTCCTTCAAACCCAAACTAAATAAAAGAAGACTGTGTTACAGATATATGTTTTACAGCAACAATCCGAGCACAAATGTACATCAATTCAGGCAGTGTTCGCCAGCTTTGGAGGAAATATCAATGATATTGATCAGAGTGCCGCACAATAATATAAAAACGAGGAAATCACTCCACTCTATCCTTTTTTAGTTTCTCTTCATCCGCACCCTCCTCCTTCACCAGCACAAACCCTCGACGGACTTTATAAAGGACCTACGAAAGAAACTTTCAAAGAGCTCCGCCGATAAGCTAACTTACGTGTAATAATTTAGTAAATTTCCTGATGATTCATTTAGCTTCGTGATTTTATTGCTCTTTTTTCATCATACACTATGGTTTTCTTGTATACGATCGCGTTTCTTGCATATCCCGGCGTTATTTATGTCCAAACTACGGCGGAAAAAGTTTTGAAGACGGAAGTTTTACTCTGAAAATGCATCAAATGTATTCCGTCCTCATTATGCCAAGTGAATTCAACAGGGCAACAATCACGGATCATTTTGGATTTGTGTTTGTGGAAAACTCGGGGAGGGAAATCCCATGATTACCGTAACGCCATCGTTTTCGATAAGCTTCGTTTTTAAAATGTTTTCTGTCCACACGAAAGCCGGCGTATTTAATTTCCTCTTGTTTGAAGAGCGTTATTGAAAAGCTCCGTTTTTCGTGACGGATTAGTGTGGACGGTACGCCTAACCAGAGAAATAAAGCTGCGTTTTCAGAATTATCCGGCGAAGTGTGGACGCAGAATGACTCTTATTTTGATTAGCAAAGCTCAGTGTTTCCTTCAGTCGTGTACAAATAAAGCAGTCTCTCTATTAAGGAATCATCATGCTGTACAAGCCGTTTCCATCTACAGCTGTAGTTGACATTTTGACCATGTCGATTATATAAAGGATGAAATAAAAAATCTTTTGTCAGTTAAACAGGTCGACAGGCGGGGTTTCAATATTTAGCACACGTCTGTTGCCATTAAATGGCACAGAGATGTCGAAAAGATACCCTAGCTGCATTCAACATTCGCTGTACTTACCACTGGATGACGCAATCCTGTTGAGACTTAAGAATAATCGATTTTAAGGAGATGTTTATTTCATTGTTTGTTTGTTTGTTTTTTTTTTTGGCTTTATTACAACTGCTAAGTAACGGCAAACAAAAAATGATCTTCGGATAAATACACGCGGTTTTAAATTTGAACAACAAAAGCAAAAATAAAAACATGTCTGGGAGGATCTGCATCCACCGTTACATTAATACCACACCGCAGATTGGCCGTGTCTTTAACATGTTCTTCAAATTTAAAAACGTGCATGCTTTATGCGAAGGCAAAGATGTCACCTTTGAAAAATCCGAACAAAAATATACCCTGCTGCTTTTATTTTTGGCAAAAAAGCTGGGCTTTATTCGTCAGAACTGGGTTGATTGTCTCGAGGTTACTTACGAAGCCATTTGCTTAAACGAAACTGCCACTTTGACAGTAATTAAGGAAGTCATTAAGTTATACTCTTATCTGAAAACGACAGTTAGTGAGGGTAATGTCAAAGAAGTGATATACATGTATGTTGGTCCAACGGATGTAAGGACTGAGCGGTTCCAACATTTTCACTAATTTTAAATTTTCGTAAATCACCGGACGAGCTCTGAAGAGTCGCGATATGACGTTTTTGTACAGTTCAGTTACTCTGGACTAATAGGTTTGAAAGGTTTTTCGGTTAAAGGGTCTTGTGGAAAAGCTCCAACAGTGATTAGACCGCGTACATCAGTTGTTCTTGATTGTTGAAAGTGTTTACGGTAGACACTGAACAATAGGTCACGTTCGACAGATCAATATTCTAACATGGCTCCGAGGCTTTCAGGACAAACTTCTATATTTGGTGGTCTTTTCTTTGTATTCAAGTCTCTTGGAATTGAGGGACAAAAGAAACTTAACAAATTTGTAATTTTGTCCTGAAAGCCTCGGAGCCATGTTAGAATATTGATATATCGAATGTGGCCTACTTTGAATCCGCTCATACAAAGTCATTATACCGAGAAACAGAAACACCAATAGCAACAGAAACACCACCAACAACAGACACATAAGACTGAATAACAAAAAACAAGCAGACAAAGATCGATCAAAAGTGACGTTATGAGTTGAATTATGATAACAATCTCACAGTTATAATACTCCATGTGAGAATTGAGTGTGACCTTTACACTTTGTACACAATTTTAATTTGTTGCGAAACCTCGCTCATATAAGCTCACATAGGTTCGTACCTTTTACTCTCCAACTAGCCATGTTGCTTGTTTAGAATGCTATATATAAAATGATGATGTTGATGACAGACTATTTATACAACGCTTGATTAACTATTCTGAATCTCAAGGATTAGTGTGTATATTTTAATTCTTTTCTTGATAAAATTTACAGAATACAAAAATACAACTGACATCTTGTTTGTCGCCATTGATACCCGATGCTTTGTTTTTCAAATAAATCGAAACACAAATTTTTGAGAAAAAAAAAATTTCATTTTATCTAGATTCAAAAATTTGAATCAATAACAGAAAGACCAGTTCCGAAACTACAGTAGATTGTTCTTTTAAAAATGCATTTTTTTATTGCGTACAAAGTGATATTACCTCCCTTTTCATTGCCTAGCGAATGTCAAATATAACCTCTCAAATACCTTTTTCAGTTTCTTTTAATTTTGTCAAATTTTCATATTAAGCTTTACAAAATATGTTTGCTCTTCTAAGAAGCATCGTAAGCATATAACTTCTTTGCAGGCCGTGTTCGTACTTAATGCAGATTCCTGGATACAGCATTAGTTCAGTCATTCGTCTTAAATGACTTATTGGTACTACGTTCAAAACTCGAACTTGCCTTTGGCTTGTCAATTGGCTTGTCAATAATATTTTCCAGAAAGAACTATACAGTAGTTATACACAATGGCATCTATGTTGTAGTTTAGAAATATCGTTAGGGACGTAGGTTGGTCGGCGGATTGATTCAGGAAATACTCCTCCGATTGCCTGGAGTTTCTCTTGGTAAAATCAGCGAATTCGTACTCATACTCACATCGGGTGAATTCCAAACAGCTAGGATTCGTACATGTAACTGCATTTAGCTCCCACGTAGGTGGCTCCCACGACACTTTTTTTTTTCATATACCAGTTGACGCACCTAATCTTTTAATTTATGGCAGTAGGCTTCCAAACTAAAACTAGAGACACATACCTGTAGACACAAATATATCCCTCGAGCTTTCTTTTCAGGATTAACCTTTTCGACACAGCTGTATATTTACCGTACCTCTGAACCAGAATCTTTTTTTATGTAAATTATGATACGCGAACGCTACATCAATATAATTATGCAAATGTGTAACTTCTGCCTTTTATTCTGTTTAATTAGTTACTATGCCATACATTTATCATTAGCATCAGTTCAGACACAAGTAATATTCCACAAACACTACCGCCGAAATCTCAACTCGCCGCTGCTCAATCTTCTTTTGAGACCAAATAATAGCGCTTTAATGGAGATTGTTTTCGGGTACTTCACTTTTCTTTGACACAAATAAAGCGCTCCAATTCAATGAAATCCGAACTTAATCTTTAAGCACCAGCAGAAAAGAAATCGACTCCTTCGCACGCCCGCTACAAAGCTTCCATGCTGGACTCTTAATTCACGCCCCAGGCTCAATGTAACAAATAGTAAAAGTTGTTATCACAACTTCCTCGCGTCGTATATGACAAATTTGCCAAATTTGGAAGCCTTCCTTTCATTTTGCCTTTCATTTATCTGATTTTTCCCTCTTGACCTTGAAAACAAGCAAACACGAGAAACATATCAACATCGAAAAAGCGATTTTGTTCCGACTCAAGCTTATACTCTTCAATGCAGTCGAAATGAAGTGACACTGAAAATGAAAAGCAAAAAAAAAAAAAAAAAAGGTCCTGCAGACCTCTGAAGATCCTCAAGTTTGTTGAATGCTATTTATTAACTATCCTATAGCAAGCTAAGGAAAACAAGAAACTGTGTATTTGAAAATTTTCAGCGTCCGTAACTGAAAACATCACGTGGAAAACATCGTTGTTTAGGAGAAGCAAGGGTGATTGTTTTTCGTTGTTGAATTTCGGTCCAATTCAAAGAGCATATGCTCTTCTCAGTACCACATCAGGTGATCAGTTCCGAAGGCTGGGTACACGCAATATGTATTATTAATCTCTGCCAGCCGTTAAAAGTTTGTGGTAATCTTTTTTCTTCCGTTTTAATTCGGATCAACATTTCATGATAATTTTTCAAGGTAAGTACTCCTTGAATGTTCCGGCGAGCAATGCCGTTGGCCACCGGATGTTGTTTATCATGGAGAAAAACAGGACAATGTTTTTCTATCTTAGTAGTTTATAACAATAGCCAGTGTTTATTGAGAATTGGTTTGATAGCAAGTAAACAAGGAAGTTAAATGTACTTTATCAAATAAAAATAAATAAACTTCTTGTATTCTCTTAATGGTATTTTCCATAAAAACTATAACCGACCATCTAGAATTCAGAAAAAGTTTTGTTTAGTTTTAGTAACGTAATTTACCTTAATTATTTTAATTTAATAATTTTTAGTGCGGTGCGATGAAACGTCGCTTATTTAACGAAATACAAAAAGTCACCTAAAGTAGCAGAACGTCCAATTTACATATGTATTGCTTTCTCTATCAATATGGAGTATCGATAAATATTTGTTAGGAACTGATTTACAAAAGACCCGGCCTCACGTAAATACAGATAAATTTCAATCCAATTAATAAAGTGAAGTGAATCACACGTGAAAGTTGCGGAGTTGAACCATTACCATTCAAAATACTGTTCTGCTATGGTTTTTGTGTGACGAAGATTGATTGATTACTTGATTGTCTGCAGTGTTTTGAAGGAATGAAGATCACAATGGGAAAGAGCTTTAAACTCAATTGATTTTTCTTGTTTGTAGAAATGAGTCCAATGGTTTTAGATTGCGAGATAATTAAAAGCCAGTTCAGCTAAAACTGAGAGACACAGACTGCGGAATCGTATTTAAAGTGCTAACGCAGCCGGGAAATGAAACTCTCGGACAAAATCACCAAGGATATGTGACAAAAACACACTCCATAATATTTTTTCGGTGATAGAAAAGTCCATGATTCATTTTTTATAGGAGCCTAAGTACCTGGTCTCCATGACGCTTCAGTTCATATGACTGAATTAAGGCCGAAAAGAAAAGGACACAAATAAATTAAATGAATTCGAACGAAGATATAAATAGCTTAATCGTTTTGTATTTAACGTGCTGAAACAGGCGAAGAATGAGACTTTTTTCACGCTTAGACAAAATTACCAAGCTATTTCAGTCGGCTTTTCAAGTTTATCGAAGGAGAGAAGGTCAAATGAAGAATATATCCACCGTAGCTGACTAAACGAAGGCATTTTAAGCCCGAAAGAAGGTCAAACCAAATCAGTTTCTACCAGTCGGTGAGCAGACTGTGAGACCCTAATTCGGCAAATACCACGCTTAAAATATTCAACTTAATTTCAATTACCCAAGAAGATGCTACGCACATCCAGCTATATTCGGTTTAGAATTTAAATTCGTTTGCGCTAACGAAAGTTAGCCACTGACGAGCCTTTGTATCGAAAACGTTGGCCACCTATTTTGTGAGATTTGTAACGTCAAACGAGCGAATTCCTATTCTCTTTAAGAAATGGAAAGCGTTTTCTGTTTTTCTCGAATTATAAAGCACGAGTGGTAGATCGAGGAAGTTTGCGAGGACGAGAAATACGCGGGAACACGAGCTGTAACAAATTCACTCATCGTCGAAATGTAAATTCTCTTTACTTAAGCAAGTTCGATTTTCTATCGAGTAAAGAAGTGTTGCTTTGATGGCGCACTTTCTTTTACAGGGTTTCTCAAAATTATACTGGAAATTTTTGAACTGTTTGTTTTATGTCTATAGCAATCAATACATCTTCCTGAGATAGTAAAATGTTGAAATGACACTCGAGTCGGATAGATTTAATTAAAACAGAAGCTCAATTTTAAAAGCTTCAATATTTACCTAGATGAGTGTATTTGTTATCACTTGTTTTGGTTTAGATTTCTTATTTACCAAAACGAAATTAAAAGATGCTAGTATATAATAATTTCTCAATGCGCAATAATTTCCTTTCAGTAATGTAATCTTATCAAGGAAATTCACCAAGAGCAAATGTTTGAATTTTGGTAATTCTCACGGTTATGACTTCTAATTTCCTTGCGGATTTTTCGTTTTTGTTTTCTAAATAATCTTGATGGTTTTGACAAAATTTACAGCGAGCCGTGATTTCTAAGCTGTCTATATCTCAATTTATCTTTTTCCGTTGTATTTTGCCCTCGACGGAGCCTTACTGAAGAGGCACGTTTGTCGTCAAAAGCCAAAAAACGATATACCATGTGTTGAATTAGATTTCAATATTTAGTTTGTGATATAAACTGGCTAAGTTTATCCGACTAAACAGATAAGGTGTTCACTTTAATGTTATTTAAAAGAGTGTGAAGAAAAAGCAATTTTCCAAAAAATTCTGAATTAAAACACTGGTTACAATATCGTACGCAGGGGCGACTGAACATTTTGCGATGAATAAAAGAATCATACCCTTCTAAAAAGAAAAGATTATAACGAGTTATGACAGTGTAAATAAGGGTATCGCTTATGAAGGAAGTATCTTGTTTTTTTTTTTTTGTTTTTCTTGAGTGTCTGGGTTTTTTAACGTAACAGAAAGGACTTACCATTGGAAGATTATAGCTCTCACTTTGGTTCCTTGTGATAGAAAGTGAAATATTCCAAAATTGAATTTTGACAAAAACATAAATTACTTATTCCATTTCCAGCCTCAGTTTGGGGGATTCATATCCGAAGTGACAGTAAATAACCGGATTTTCCGTCACGACTAAGCTTATATAAATTTGTCTTGAACCAGTAAGAGGCTTCAGAGCGGCCAGGAGTGGAAGTGGACTCAGTATTCGCGACTAGCTCCCTTTCTATTTTGATTGCATTTCCGACAGAAAGCGATGCTTGACATCTGAGCTATTAATAATCGGGAAATGAAGTAAAAAAGTAATATTGAAATTGTACAATGTTTTCTGACACTTACCAGGAAAAATAGCTCTTTCTCGTTCCGGAAAATTCTAAAATTTCTATTTTTGATTTTTTCCTCGCCTCTTAGCTAGAAAAAGTAATAACATACTTCCAAGAACGGCATTTTCAGTGACTTGGATCAATTACCACCTCTTGATAATTAACGTCCTAATTTGCATTGCCATATTCAAGAGTCTTTAATATTCTCAGTTTTGAAGCCTGAGTGTAACTGGCCTTTTTTACAACAACACTTCATCCGTTTGTCATCATCTTCTGATACTCGAATGTCAAGCAAGGAAAATTAATGAGGCCATTAGGTTTACTTCAGAAAGCAAAAAAAAAAAAAAAAAAAAAGTAAAATAAAATAAAATACGAGTCAGAAGAAAAATAAAAATTAATCAAAGAGTGCGCGACGAGCTAAGTAAAGATAAGCAAAATAGATATTAAATTTTGCCCGGCATGATATTCTTTCACCTCTTTTGTAAATAATTTAAGGGCCACAAAGTCAACTGCTGGGTCTACCAGTAATTGTGTTATAGCCTAAATGTTAAGTATTATATAATAGTATACAGTTGGTACGTCAGTTGGTGGAGTTCACACTTGTAAGCTATGAAATCGTTTTCTCCAAATTTAAATGTTGTTAGGTTATTTAATATATCTACCTGATTTTAGAGCGGTTTCGGTGGGTGAAAGTAAATGCGTTATGGAGTAAAAGCTGGGAGGAAGATCTTTTCAATAAGCTGAATAAGCCTCGTCCTAAGCGATATAGGCATGTGTTGCCCTTTTCTGAACCGAAATTGATTTTTGCTTTTCCATTCTGAATTTGAGGGGAGTCAGGGCTCATATATAAATGAACGATCTGCGTGAAAAAGGACAATTTACCGCTTCAGCACCGGGAGGGGGGGGAGGACTCCCATCTATAAAGGATGGGGTGCTCCTGTTTTGTGGGTTTGGCTTAAAATTTTTTCATCCCTTAGAGGTACCAATTCTAAGGCAACACATCATCTCCTGTTGTATTGTTTCGACTCAACACCCTAAAAGGTATTGCAAAAGTTCTCACTGTGGACCTTTTAAGGCTTAACACCCTAAGAGGTACAAAACCGTATGATGAGCGCCCCCGTCTTTTTTATATGGAAGTTCCCCCGGGAACTCCTGCGGACTCATCTGAAAAGAAGGAAAGATATTTGAGTGCCAGGTCTGGAGATGGGTGTGAAAAGTATCGTACTTATCTGCATTCACTTACGAAGCGATCGAAAAAATATTTGAACAATCATGAATTAACTCTTGCTGTATACAAATTCAAAATTACAATCATATGTTTATAATAACTACTTAATAACCGAGAGTGAGGTCGTTACGGGAAAATCTCAAACTGAGGTCTTGCCGTATTGACCGAGCGACAGCGAGGTCAATACGGTAGGCCGAGGTCTGAGATTTTCCCGTAACGACCGAACGGTCGAGGTTATTAAGTTGTTTATTATCTGGCTCGCGAATTGAAGAAAAAAAAATTATTCGAGCGGAAGTCGTCAATTTACATGCGGCGATGCGCGCGTTTACCGATTCATCCATCGTCTCAAACCCAGGGCAAAACTACACAGTCAGTGAACTTCACTACTGTAATTCTTTACGGGAAAAATGATTGTCACAGCCCTCAAAAAGGTATTNCCTCTCCAGTTCAGTTCAGTCCAATCCAGTCCAGTCCAGTCAAGTCCAGTCAAGTCCAGTCAAGTCCAGTCCATTCCAATTCTTCGTATCCACAAATGAAGGACTGGGGCGGACTTCCTGTTTCGTTTCGAGTACATCCTTCCCAAAGCGAAAGTGCAAGCCTCTTTCGTGCAAAAAAAAATGTACTTACGTCCTTGTTAGAAAGCCAGGAGGATTTTAGGATGGAAAGTAGCATCTCTGATAGATTCATATCCGAAAGGATTCTGCACAAACTCAAAGAGACTTTACAAGCTCAGAGCGGACTTCTTGGGAACGCGGATCTTTCTATCCAAATATCATGTATGCAAGCAGCGACCTCAACGCTGCTCGAAGTTAAGAATATCCTCAGTGATCTTAGTGAAAAGTCTCTCAGAAACGTAGCGGACAATCTTGCAAGCACTGACGGCCATTTCGTTTTCCAACGCTACTTAATCAAGTGCTATTACTTCATGCAGTCAAATGGAAACACAACCAATATGTTACAAGAAGGAAGTCGCCCTTCAGGTGTGCTGATATTTTGCCCTCTCTACGTTGCTGTAACAGAAGTACTTACTCCTCTGCTCGTGAGTGAAACATTTGCTGGTAATATTGCCTCCACTAAGATATCTCAACTGTTTCTGAAAGATCTGAACGTCTTAGTTTTGCCTGATTCAGAGCCTGAGCAGTTTAAAATGCTTCTCGCTAATATTCACTTTTTGTGGGAATTGTCCAAAAAGCCTGCAGCCTTAGTCCAATTTCGGAACTTCAGTGACACTGTATTGATTCTCATCAATGTGTTTGTCAGTTACCAAGGGCCCTTTGAACAACTGACAACATTGGTGAAATCATTGGCTGTCATGATAGCAGCTGAAGTCGCAGATGAGGAAACAAGTGTGTACCTACTAGCAGAAGAGAGCTGCCTTGATTTTGTTGTCGAGATCCTCACAAGGTCTGTAAGTGCTGGAGATAAGTATCTCAACTATCATGGTGTGTATGCCATAGACATTGCTAAATGTATCCTAAAACTGAGCAGATTTGAGGGTTTGCAAGAAGCGCTCTTAGCGAAAGGCGTGGTTGAGCTGCTTGTATCAATGATTCAGATTGGTGATCCTTATGACGATGCCGCAGCAGCTAGTGCTTTGAACAAACTGGTGAGAAACCAAAATATTGTGGATGTCCCAGTGTTGTTTCAAGGGTTAGCATCATATTGTGAGAAGAACGTTTCTGCTACCAAAACTGAAGTCACTGCTTCAAATGATGACCAAAGAATTCCAACTAGCAAGGAAAAGGAAGCAGTGGAAAGCCTCGCAGCAGGACAAGTTGGACAACTGGCTGGCAAGGACAAGAACGATTCAATTGTAGACAACAAGCAGGAACTCACCACTGAAGAGCAACAGCAAAGCATAGAAGGAAACATTGAAGACAAAACTGAAAAATCCAGCAACGTGGTTTCAGACAGTGGCAATGAAAGTATGATTAGTGAGGAGACCATCACATCAGAAATTGACCCAAGCACAGTAATTGCTTCTAGAAAAGGAAAAGACAAGGTCACATCTCTGGAGAACAACTCTTGGAACATCAAGGAAGATGACAAGAGGAAAGAGGCTGAAATTGCAGAGGTCCACTTGAAAGAAGATGTCAAAGAGGATATTGGTACAACTATAAAAATCATGCCAAGTCATGAACCAAATTATGGGGAACGAGCTTGTGACCAAGATTCACAAATTTTATGTCATGAGACAGATAACAGAGAAACAACAGAAAAGCCAGAAGAGAAAAATTCACCCCGGGTGCCATCTACCTCTGAGTCAGAAACTCCTTGCACAGAAGATAGAAGCCAACTTCATGAAGCAGAACCAAGGTTTTGCCAACAGGAAGAAATTTCAGCATATATGAAGAAACAGTTAGAGAATATGGGACAAGAAGAAATCAAGTATGTTAAGATGCCACTGCAGCTTGAGCCAGACATCAGCAAGCAGCCAGGCTCCGAGTACAAACAATCTCCTGCTTCAAGGCCATTCCAATACCAAACAGAAGGGACTGACCCTGTATCAGGACAGGACTTGTACCGTATACACTTGAGCCTTATAGATCTTGGTGTGCACAACATGTATGACCAAAAATTAGTTGGCCTTCTGAACGAAATTTTAGAGGAGGCAAAACTGCGAGAAGATGGTGTCTTTGATATATTGAACAGTGTCCCTGAAGTGTACAGTTACAAAATGCTGAGGACTGGCAGTATGCAGAGACAGTTAAGGGTGGTTCCAGCATACAATGATGAAGACCTGAATGTCCCCTTTATCCATGTTCAGCCAGAGATCGATTACCACTTGGTACTAAAGAAGTTTGTTTTCCAAGTGGTGAAGGATTGTGGTAGCGAAATGGATTTTCCAGGTTTCACACTCATTGGGCCATGGTGCGATGCAATTCCAACAGAACTTGAAGAATGGAGTTTTTGCTTTGTGTCAAACAAAACCACTGAAGGGAAGATGCAATACTATTTGTCTGCTGAAAGAATGAAACAAAATTTTCTCTGGCCAATTTTGTTATCATTTGTACAGATGAACTTTCAGTACAAGGCTCTTATGGCAAAGGGAGAGAGCTTGGAGTGTGAAAACCTGAAGTGTCATGGCATCACTGTCCGAAAGATTGAAGAAAATGGTCCTGCTGTCACGGTCTACTATCTTGACAAATACCTCACTGTTGATTATGTGTTGTCTCTAAGGCACACCCAGTGGCCGTCATGTGCAGCATCATGGCCAGATCGACAAAGACAGTGGCCAGACAGTGACACTGTCAGAAATATCACAAATTATGGCTGTCATCTGGTGCCTAAACAACCAGCATGTCTCTCAGAAAGTGATCCCCTGTATGGCATGTTTTTCCAATACTCATTTGCAAGAGCTGAAAATGTCCTTCTTAACAAACTCAATGATGACAACCCAGTACTGACAGACTGCTTGCGCATGCTGAAATTTCTGTGTGAACTTCACTTTGACAGGCCGACACTGTTGAAGTCTTATCACATGCAGACCTTGGTGCTGTTGGCTGCTGAGAGGCTCCCACCATCGCATTGGAAAGCCGAACATTTTGTGAAACATCTGCTTGATTTACTGGATGATTTATTGCACCACCTTGTAGCTCACAATCTACCGAACTATTTCATTCCTCAGCAAAATCTCTTCCAGCAGTTTGCTCCTGATTTCATTTTGGATGTTGCAGTCAGAGTTTCCAAAGTCAGAAGAGACCCTATAAAGTATTTGACTCCAAGTCATGATCCTGCACGATTTGGGATTTATCTCATTTGAATCATCCCACTGTTAGATACTGATGGTGTGCTGCATTCAGATAATAGTCAAACTCGTGGCAATTATTTCTGAGATCAACGTATACACATTATACAGTTATTTATAATGACTGACTTTGCATGAAAGGAACTCATAATTTAAAAATCTCTTCCAGAATATAATTATTGTTAAAAACTCATCACTATTAATGTTATTATTGAAACCTACATTTAAAATATTTTAAGCTTGTAATTTGTGTCTTAATAATTTATAGTAAAACTATTGAGTGATAAGAATTTCTTAAATTTAGCATTAGGACGTATTGTGATCACAGGATATCATAGATCCTACCATTTACTGCATGCAACCTTAATGGCACTTACATATCTTGATCCAGGTGTCAAATAAGTAAACAAATTTAATTTCATGATCTGAGTGGCTTTACAATGAAATACAGTATTTAGAATCTTTTAAGAAACTGGGTCATTGCAAAAGTTGAAGTAAGGTAGATAATGATGCATCCCTTGGCCTTGTTGCAGATAGAATAAAGATATATTTACCAATATGAATTACAATTAAGTTCTTTCTCCTTAAGAATAATAATTATACATGTGAAGTGTTCTCTGTAAATAATTATTGAGAATTCTTTCCCCTTTTAAATTAATGAAAATAACAGTAAAGGCTACAGATTTCCATTTGATTGCTCTGATTGCCGCAATCATTCTAGGAAGAAAAGTTCAGCGGCCATTGCGATCATTAGTATAGAAATAGTTAGAGACAGCTTCCTCAGTGATTGTAGTGATCACAGTGATCATTGTCACAATGATCGATGAGATAAACTTAAATTATATGTCCACAATTGTAGCTAATGTGACAGTTAAAGCGGTTGAGTGTCGTAAAACCAAAACCAAACCAATTACTAACCAGTTAGACTATGCAGTCAATCTCAAACCATAGTAAAACCAAGACCAAAACCTAAGTGACTGCCTAATAACTTTCGACACTCAATTGAAAACCAATGCAATATGGAAACCATTCATCAGAGATTGTAGTGATCATTGCAATGGTAAATAAAAAAGGAACCAGACTGCACTTGGTCATTTTAAACTTTTTGATTCATGTCCCCTCAGCAATTTTTCTGTAGCGATCGTGGAGGTCTATGGAAATTGTTCAGCACAGAAAGTCTCATTAATGGCTCCCTGGACAACTCAAATAGATGTTTTCTTAAGGTTTTTTTTTTTTTTCAAGAGAAAAAAAAAGGAAAAAAAACTCTCTTCTTTGTGTCACTTAAGAAACAGGTTTTGACTAGGGTTTTGACTTAGCTTGTCAGAATGATTCAAATAACATCCAGGTCATTTTCATAGTTCCTTGTAGCAGAACTTGATATAAGACAACACCTGTCAGAAATCCCAGCAACTGAAAAATAAAAGTAACTCTCCAAAAAATCATACATACACTTACTATACACCTGTATTTGTAGAGCATGGTATAATTGCCACATACTGTACCATGATGGTTAAGCCACTGAAAACGCATGAATTGCATATTTATATCCAATGATGCAGTTTTTATTAATAATTATTTCTATGTATTGACTACATTGTTGTAATTATTTCAGTGTTACCTATGAAGGAGATAACTTTGTTCGTTTCTCTGGCGACACACAGAAGATGGCTCAAACACAAAGTATGTTTATTGCAGTTGTATAAAGACAGTGCAAATGTAGGCCATTCTAGCCATGCATGGGTTCCATATGTATTATATGTTATATTTTGTAATTCTGTTTATGTTTTTTTGTTTTTTGTTTTGTTTTTTTAAACTAGTGTTTGCATGGGAGGCTTATGAGAAAGGAGCTGATGTCCATCTTCAGGCAGATCCCACCAAACTTGAACTTTTACACAAAGAATACAGAGTGAAGAAAGGTGACTTTGAGCAAGACAAGAAACTCTCGATTCTTGATAAGGTAGGGATTCAAACACCACAGGGGCCCTAGAAGCTGATGTTGGTAAACCCTTGTTTGCCAGGTTCAAGATTGAAAAGCTGAAAAAAATGTGCAGTGTACTGTGTAAAGGTAATGCTTATTAAAAGCTCTTATTTGTAAATGAATGGTCTCTGGGTTTTCTTACAAACTAAAGACATTAATTAAGGTTAGAATAACCTTGTACAGCAGAGCAAACAGCACCACATGAAAGTTTTGCTGAACGTATGGCCACTCTTGCCTTTTATTAACTCCAAATTTGAAAGGCATGCATAATTATGTAAGTCTTTTTAACGTTAAAAACTGACAACTTAGTCTTAAAATGTGAGCACTATTTTCCAGTCATATCCAGGTGAGGATGTCAAATGTTTGAGTTCAAAGCAGGGGTTTCAATCAAATTTTTAGCAGGAGGGCAACTGGTTTTACAGGTGACAATATTTTTTGAACCAAACTTCTTTATAAGAAAAACTTTCCTTTAGATGGTCAAACCAGGGAGGCAAAATCAACCTCACAGCTGGTCACTTTGTCCAGTGCCCAGCCCTTAATGAAACCCATGTCAAAGAATGATTATTCTTAAAAACCCTCAGTGTAGATTAAGTTGACATTGAATACTGTAGCATCAACATTTCAATAATTAATGTGTTATGTTTTTCTTTGCAGTATGGAGGTGAAGAACACTTGAATGCTCCACCCAAAGACTTGTTGCTAGCCCAGACTGTAAGTTATACAACCCCCTGCACAAAAGGTTTATTTCATTTGTACTGTTTACAGGGTCAAAGACGATAACTTAATCTCCTTTAAGTCAAGGCAAGTTTGGTAAATCATAGTTAAAAATTAAAACATTGAGAGAAAGTATTTAAACCTGTGCTTCTTGTTCTTGTCAGGAACATTATGTTGAATACTCAAGGACTGGAAAAGTTATTAAAGGTAGACAGAATTATTTTATTATTGTACACACACTGGGTCAGTCATTAGAAAACAGCCCCACAAGCGGGTACCGGTTTTTGTTTCACACCTGTATGTTTGAAAACTACAGTATGATCCTTAATGGAGCATCATGCTCCTTAGCCAATAATTATTGAGGATACCATGATCCCAGAGTTGGTTGGGAATGTTTTCAGCTGTTTTTCCATACCGTGCAGGGGTGGGGGTAGGGTGGGACAGGCAGCTGTCCAGAATTGTGAGTGTGACTGTGCTACTGTGCTTGTAAAACCATAACCCTACCTCAAGATACAAGCTACAAAATTACTACAATTACTATAGTAATTAATAAATATCCTGTTGATTACAACAAAGAAAAGAAGTTGCTTTATTAAGTCAGAACTGGGTGTTCCCCTTCAAGACATTTAAAACATGAACACTTCTCAAGATCCTTTTTTTGACAATTTTTGCTTACTATAGAATGATGGCTCTTCATAAAAATTATTATTAATATACTGTCAGTACAACTTGATTAGTGCTTCTACAGTGAAAAAAATGTAAATACTCTTAAGAGGAGCCTTCACTTCTTCATCATCAAAAAAAGACAAAAAGTGTCAAGTGTGCATGGTTGGAGTGTCTTCACTGTAAATTATTCATTTTAAAGTTACATTAATTTTGCAGTTTTTGAGTGCATAATTAAAGTTATATAATTATTGCCTTGTTCTAAATTTACTGTAACTTTTAGGTCAAGACAAAGCTGTTGTAAAATCCAAATACGAGGAAGACGTGTACACAAACAATCATACGGTGAGAAACTGGATTTTAAAAAAGAAAGAGTTATTTTTTTCCAGTGAAACAATGTTATGTCTAATTGACTTTTAACACAGAACCAAATATATTGTTGGTGATATACTTACAAGTTATGTCAACTTTGAAGTCTTCTTCATCATGATCATCATATGAATGTTGACATTAATTTCCCTTTTTGTACATGTGTCAAATAGACATCCTTGGCTAGTCAGAATTATTTCCTCCCAGATAAGATTCATGACTTCCAATGCTTTCAAGGAAATGTTTTTAAGAGAATAAATGATCATTGTTTTTTTCCCTTAACATCATTTAGACTGAGTAATCTCCTAAACATTTTTACTCTTTTCCAGAGTGTGTGGGGATCATACTGGCAGGAAGGAAGCTGGGGTTATGCCTGTTGCCATTCCTTTGTGAGAAACTCATACTGTACAGGAGAGGCTGGTAAAGCAACCCCTGCCTCAAGGGTAGGTTTGAAACTTTCAGCTCACAGTTTTGGTTGATGGCCAAATTATCCCTCCTGTAGGATGGACCTGATAACAGAATCCAAATGAAACACCTGCCAGGGTGAAGGTCAAGTTAGGTGATGCAATTTGCAACTTGCAATATTGCAGCAAACATATGATTGCATGAATTCCCAGTTTGAAGACGTTTTACATGTAACACCCCATCTTGCAACCTACAGAATGTTATGTTGCAAGTTGCAAGAAAATTGCCACAGTGCAACACATTCATAGAAACTTACACTGTACATGTAGCACCTTTATGCAACTTGCAATGTTTTTCAGTTGTCATCAGTGTATCCCAAGAAATTGCTTCATATAACTTACATATGTAGGCTTTAGAAACTATTAGTCAGCTCGCAATAATTATTGAAGAGGGGCAGAGATTAACAGTACATTTAAGAATAGAATTCTACTAGTATACTAATGCAAATGCTGCAATCTGATTGGCTGAGCTACTCGTATACTATCAGCCGTTGGCGTAAAGTGGCTGTCGGTCGTCCACGAAATGCGACGTTTTTCTCTTTTTTTCCGAGTTTTGGAGGAACGTTTAGATGAAAATAAATAATTAAATTTCTGAGAAGACTAAAAGAAGGACATTAACGGTTTCTTGACTTTAAAAACTTGAAAATATTGAAAAAATGGCTGTGTACGCTTACACAAGTGCAAATTTACCAAAGACGGTTCAATACGTGCGATGTTGTTAAATCGTAAAGTACGATAATGTGTAGAAAAATAATTGGAAACCGTTATTTGCGTTAATTTCAGTTAGAATTCTACTAAAACAATTAGATTATTCGCTCTCGATTTCTATGCGGCGATGGTTGATTTGGCCTTCGGCCTCATCAACTATCACCTCATAGAAATCTCGAGCTCATATTCTAATTGTTAAATAGAAAAGGGAATACAGTACCATGCTGACTACAAACTCTCGGATAAATAATCTGGTAATGGGTTTAGATCTGCGTTCTACTTGGTAATTTATTACCTATGTCCATTGGACGTCAGTAGATTAACATAGACACTTAATGGACAGAGGTTACGTCCTTAGGGGCTGGGGGTAGTGCGCCATAACAAGCATTTTATGGTAGGAACAAAATCAGTACTTTCTCTGTTTAAGTTTGATTTTTATAAGAAAGTAATCGAACACGATTTGGCAAGGCAGACAGTTCTGCAGTTCAAAATCTGAGAATTGCACGACTGATTACAGGTTTCGACGTTCTCCGTGCATTTCATCTCGCACCCACCTCCACGACAAAACTGAGTGCAGTGTTTAGCGTTACATTCCATGTTGCAGTTGGCTCCAGCACAATCTTGCAAACACGTGTAAGATGTGCAGGACATCGAGTCACATGCACCTTCTGAACACGTTTGCTTGCATCTGTTTGAAGTTTGGCAGAACATTGCTCGGCAGTCTCCCTCACTGCACATCTGATTTATGGAATGGTAAATTCTAAGATGTATCCATCCATGTAAAGAACAGCTACGCTTTGGAGGGCATGTTTGATGGCATTCACGTGTCAACATTGTGCATCGCACTCTCCTGAACACTGCTTTAAGTCTGGGACCCTCGGCTGGGATTACGCAGCTCCCAGAGTCACAATAACGCTTACACTGTTTTGCGTTGCATCCAAGAACGCAGTTACCACCGGGACACCATTGGAGACACTCGTTGACGTTGGACAGACAGCTCATGCTGCAGTCTCCACCTCTGCACATTTGGAGACAGGTTTCCGCTTCGCATTCCATTTTGCATCTTCCAGCAACACATTCTTGAATGCAAAGTTTTGAGTTGCATAGGTATTTGGTGCATTTGCCACCAGTGCAGATTTGCGTGCATCTTAGTGGCGCTTTGCAATCAAACTCACAGTTTCCTCCATGACAAACCTGGAGCAACGAACTATGATGGGTGTACTTATAGTTCATGCCGCAATGTCCTTCGGAGCATTTCTGAACACAAGTGCCCGCATGTCTATCATCGTTCTCATTGCAGTATTCTACGTATCGAGGAGGAAGATGTACGGCTTCCAGATCTCTGGCTACCTTCAAGCTATAGGTACACTCTCCTCCATCACAAGAACGTTTGCATGTCTCCGCATGGCAAATCATCGTACATTTTCCACCCTTGCATGTCTGTTTACACACCTTGACACCTAAAGGACATCGCATGGTGCATTTTCCCGCTTCGCAGCTCTGAATGCAACTTTCTGCATTTTTCGAACAAAGCATGTCGCAGCCACCCATGAAGCAGTGCTGTCGACAGTTTTTCCCGCCACAATCGATCAGTTGGCACTTCCCTCTTATGCAAATTTGACTGCAGCTCTTCGAATTGCAAAGCATAACGTTGCAACGACCTGCCACACACTTCTGTTCACACGAGATTGGTGCGTTGCACTGCAAGCGGCAACGGGCGCTGTTACAAGTTTGCTGACAAAACTGATATCCCGAGTCTCTCCGGCAGATGATCTCATGGTCGCCTACCTCTCGGTACTGATGACAAGCGTTTTTGTAGATTAAGTTGCACTGAGTTGGCTTTAAACGTCGAAGACCACCACCCACTCCCAGCAGCAACAAAAAGAAGAGGAAGGGAACAGTGATGCTGAACATAGTTTTCTGAAATACAAAATTTAGTCTGTTAACGCAGAACATCGCTAGCACCTGTATCTTGGCAAGGGGTTTTGTAAATTCCTCGTTATTTACTTTACACGTGAACATGAGGTTTAAATTATTGCAATTTTAAGAGATGTTGTAAACATCTTGAAGTTTCAACATCGAACGACTGACATAACCTAGCCTAAGTAATTGCAATATAACTGCAGTTGGTGAGAAACAGAATCAGTCGAACAAACATATCTGTACAAATCTAAATTGATGTTTAAAATCGATCCGTGACAGACGTCTTCTTTGTACTAGTATGTTTGTTTAGATATCGAGATATCTTACTTGATCAATCCAAGACCTCGGCAATCATGTACACACACCGCTTAAGGCTACCTCAGTTCTTATCTTCAACTTCAATGAATAATCTGAGTTGGGTTATGCTGTTTTCGTTACTGCTGTGGAAACGTTACACCTTGAATTTAACTTCCACTCACTCCTGGCACTATATTAAGTTTGCCTTTTTCCCTATACAGAGACCCTGAATAACAGATATCTTTTAAAAATATCGCGTTACGTCCCTTTATCTCCTGCATGCGGCAGTCTATTTATTTTCAAATCAATGTTATGGCAGAATGAGGTTTCTTCTGGGTGAAGGAACATGTAATTACCGGATACGTCGGCTATTTCATAAGTAAAAAAACATTCTGGTATTAAAATTAGCACCTCGAACGTCCAAGAGCTCCTCTACCTAAGTTTTGGTTGCGTCAATTTGCTACCATATCAAAATCTGAACGAAAAATCATGGCGATATGTTAACGTAGATAGATCTCAAGTGTATAGCTAATGCAGATAAATCTTAATTAATATTGTATTGCTAATGCGGATAAAGTTTAAAGTGTTTATATTAATTCGGTTAATCGACACCACTTCGAGTCGAGAGGTGGAGTTCGTCCGCTTAGAGCGACGCGATAAAAGTAAGTTGATGAGGACGCAATCATTGCATTTTTACGTCTGCTTTTTATATATAGCGCTATCATGATGCACCATCAGCACAAAGCCGTAAAAAGTTAAATGCACGTCAAACAGAACCTGATTAACACAAGTCGGTCTGCCTGTATATATGCTGATACGAAGGGAAACGTTTTGCGAACTCCAGAGACAAGAACCTTAAAACAAAAAAGCATAGTAACAGGCCCACCAGCCAACAACGTATATTAGGTGGGTGTATTTCCCTCTTATGTACTGTACTGTAAATCATAGCTCTGGTAAGCGGCCAGCTCTTGTCCAAATAAGAATCTGAAGTGGTCATTTCTGTGGTTTAAAACCTCTACTGTAAAAGGACACAACACAAGATAAAAGACATTTTTAAGATGTGACTCAAAATATCATAGAAGAAAGACACTATAAACAGACAAACAAACAAAAAATGCATGTACATGAATTGAGATATACATTTATTACAAAATAAATGGGTAAAATTATACAACGTTGAGAATTTAAAGGGTAAAGAGTTAAAAAATATATATTAAAATATTTTTAAAAAACTCGAAATTACATTTAATAGTAAATTGATAAATAGTAAATGAATAGGACAATAAGGTGAAAATAGTTGAAAGGCAACAATAATTATTAAATAACAACAAAATAGTATTTACACAATGGCCTAGTATAAAAAGGATTTATGTTCTAGGTATGGGATTAAAAGTACTTTCGAAAAAGAGTCACTGTATACTAGCATAATAATAGTTATCCAACGGCCTAGTTTAAAAGGTATTTTTTTTTGTTTATTTTTTTCCAGGCCCAAAAAAAAAATTTTTGTAGTCTAGGCCATTGTGTCATTATTCTCTACCCTGTTTTATTGAGCAAACGGCGTTCGCTTAATTTATCACTGTATGGCAGATTTTTATCGACTGCTGGGCGGGAGATAAAATTAATTAAGCTATTGCACGCTTAAGAGAGATAACCTTATCACTAGCGGGAAATCTTTTTGTAATTAAAATCTATTTATCGTGAAACCATATTGTTTACAACGAGCTATCTAGTATAATTCTTCACATGATTAAAGGATTGAAGTCGATAAGAGAGGGGGTTCCAGTTATTTTAATAAATTATTCGTTCAATTTCGACTAAATTGTTTGTATCATGATGTCTTGATCGTAGATGTTTGTTTAATATCGGAATATCACATTTTCTTCTAAAAATAAAACATTTTCTAGGTACCAAATTTATCTAACGTGCATGTGTCTGTGTGTGTTTTGCTCTTAGTGTTTCGTCTACAATGAGTAATCCGCGAGGCATTATCAACCACTGAACAATATGATAAACACATGACACGACACGAAGAATTGAGCTGTCTTTTGAGCTGTCAAATGCGGAGAATCTACAGAATAGACCCACAGGGTTGACTGTGTCCTATGATGGGAGACGGGGTCGGGTTATTGATAGCCACTTCTAATTCTGAGGGATTACATAATATTTTATCGCACCTTAAAATATATGTTGATTATCCGTTGTGTTATTCCCTTATCTCTGTGATAAGTTTAATTCGCCAGTTATTGCTCATACCCCAAAATCTGCTCTCAAGATCAGTGAAGGACACCAAAGATGGTTTCGCACACCCCATAATTCCCGTCTCGCTTTAATCACATGATCAGAGCCACCTTAAATTTTCAAAAATTTAAGGTGGCTCTGAAGCTACTCTACAATTGTTTTAAAACTTTGCAAAAAGTTGCAACTTATCATGCTCATTACAATTCGATGATAATAATAATGGGGGTCACCGAAGTAGTTCAGTTGTGAGTTAAAAGCACTTAAAACCAAAATTGAGGGTGTTTTTAGCGCGTCATGCTGTTGCTATGGTTATCCATTGTGTCACGAAAATGATTACGTGTTCGCCAATGATTAGCCAATATTTTGATCAACTGATAAAGGGTGGTTATAATGACCTATCAAAATCTAAGTCCTTGAAAGTGCTGTAAACTGTTACCAGCCACCTTAACGTGGAAAGAGACTAGGTAAATAACGGGTAAGCTACTAGAATTTATGATAAGATCACGCAAATAAAGACACAGTGAGTGCAACTGATCCCTAGTCTTTTAAATGAAAAACACGTTTCAGTCACGTTGGAAGGGTCTTAGAAGATAATTAGGGGTACTTTGTTAACATCGGAAGTGATAAGCAAGCCAAGTGACAGGCAAACCAAGAACCGGGTAACAATGTGAAGTGATAGTAGCTGTTACTCGCACGTAGCATGTATGAATATGACTAGAAGTATAGAATATATTACTTCTCACTGATTGAGTTAAAACGTTGCCATGCATCGGCCACTTGAATTTGGTTTTCTCATTAGGCGATTTTAAGGTGTAATGAAAACAAATTAAAATTCCTCTACGCGCTACGCTTTCCTCTTGGTAATGTCAACATTCCATATTTTCTCGTATATTACGATGACGAGACCTTTAAAGGCATAATGAATGGCAAAGTCCGAGGCCCACCGAATACAAAGACGGTTTCTATGATGTTTGGACCAATATTAGTCCTAAAACGGTCTACCATTCTACGTCGTAGGTTAAGATCAACCGCGGTGTCAATCTCGAAGAGAGGACTCAGAGGCAGCGCGGTCGTAAGACCCCATCCTCCCTTACCTTCCCCTGCAGCCACTCTGGTGGGACCTGCCTATCTTGGCCTCGTCAGCCATGAACAAGCCTGCACCCAGTAGGCGAAGAAAGCCTTTTGTAACTTTTATCTGCGAAGAAACGTTTTGAGTTCTAAAGTTGAATTTTTCCGATTGTTTGATATTTCGAGACTCGAAGCAAGTTTGGTGAGGTATTTTTGGAGCCGCTCGTGTTTGTTCTCAATTATGCAACCCAAACTATGTTGTTATCGGCGTTGTGACTAACGAGAAATATATATTTGTTATAGTCAAGAAGATGTAATCACTGTACACCGCCTTCTATGTGCTGTAAACTATCCCACATGGTGATATTGAAGAGTTTCTTACTCTTACACTTTATCGGCCTATGTCTACCTATGGAGAACAAAAGTGTCTGAGGCAGCCTATTAAAATCAAGAAGCATGTGAAGCTACGATTTAATAGTTATAAATATCGGTGACATTTAAAGACCTACCTTATTGAGAGGGCAATCGGATGGGCAGAGCTGAGTAGGATAATCTGTTCATCTGGATTAATCATTTGCGATAAGGCTGCTTGAACATGATGGTATCATTAGAACTTTCTAGATCGTTAATTACATTGAGAAGGGTGGATTGTGAGAAAATACAGCCCACAGGGTTGCGGACGAAAGGACAGCTTCAATTTCAACAAATCCACTCCACTATTTATTGGCAGGCTATAATTATAAAAACACAATTTCATACCTTACTAATGGCTGAGCTTTAGTAATGCACTGACGTTCTTTTCCAGACAAATAAAGGGCTACATGTTTTTAACACAGTCCAGAACAACTTTGTTCGACAACCTTTTACTTCTGCCTCGTTATCTGCTAAAATCGCCGTAAACCGATCATGATAAATATCTTTGTGCCATGGAAGGTTAGGGACCCGTCAAAAAGTATTGGGGGTGGGTCAGAGCAGAGAGGGAGAGAGGGTCATCAGTTTTTGAGCCCTTGGTAAAGGGTGGGTCGTTCAAGTTTTAGCTACCCATAGGAGTGGGTCATCCTATTTAATGACAGTAATTGGCACGCATTTATAATATGTATATTTTAATAATCAAAGTCTTGATACTACTGGAACAGTTGGCCACACATTTAAATTTTGTACGCAAAATTCTTTTGTGTCTTTAACTTATATATAATATGTAAGTCTGTACTAAAGCTAAGAAGTCTAACAAATGAGCAAGGAGTCCCAGTGCAGAAATTTTTCAACTGACTACGCTCTTTCTACATGTTGGTCTCCAAGAACACCAAATGGCCTACTTGTGTCCACATGCTATTTATCCACAAGGGTAAAGGGTCTGGGACTCACACTAGCTCTTGGGCCGGGTCTCG